GGACCCAAAATCTGTTTTTGATGGCTGACTGATGCTCGTGTCGACATAAAATATTATAAACATAAACTGGCATACAAACTGACTATGAAACAAACATTAAATTAAATGATTAACTTAATAAAAATATGACGTGAAACCCTGACACTCACTTGATGTTATCACAACAATGTAGTCTTCAAACAGTCTTCACTTGCACCAAATATTTTTTGGACCAACCCACTTTTGTATCGTATGTTTTGTTGTTCAACGCTGCACTCAACAATATTCCAGCTATATGACGGCGGTCTGTTAATAATCCTATCCAGGGCCAGACAATCCAGTGATTGACATCATGAGCATCAATCCACACAATTGGAATACGATGACATGCATCAACCAAGTCAGCGAGCCTGGCCACCCGATCCCGTTAGTCGCCTCTTACCACAAGAAAGTTGCTTTTTACGGCAAGCAAGGGTTGCTGAAGACCTATTCTATCCCAGATCTTCACGGGTCCCTCACTCACTCAACAATGAATAGGCACCATGGGTTTCTCTGTGCAAGCAACAATGAATAGGCACCATGGGTTTCTCTGTGCAAGCAACAATCAATAGGCACCATGGGTTTCTCTGCCAAGCAACAATCAATAGGCACCATGGGTTTCTCTGTGCAAGCAACAATCAATAGGCACCATAGGTTTCTCTGTGCAAGCAACGATCAATAGGCACCATGGGTTTCTCCCTGCAAGCAACAATCAATAGGCACTATGGGTTTCTCTGTCAAGCACCAATCAATGGGCACCAAGGGTTTCTCTGTGCAAGCAACAATCAATAGGCACCATGGGTTTCTCTGTCAAGCAACAATCAATAGGCACCATGGGTTTCTCTGTGCAAGCAACAATCAATAGGCACCATGGGTTTTTCTGTGCAAGCAACAATCAATAGGCACCATGGGTTTCTCTGTCAAGCAACAATCAATAGGCACCATGGGTTTCTCTGTGCAAGCAACAATCAATAGGCACCATGGGTTTCTCTGTCAAGCAACAATCAATAGGCACCATGGGTTTCTCTGTCAAGCAACAATCAATAGGCATGATGGGTTTCTCTGTCAAGCAACAATCAATAGGCATAATGGGTTTCTCTGTCAAGCAACAATCAAATCGGAGCCATGGTGCCTCAGACGAAGAGACATGGAAACATAAAATCAAAATGTTCACTCAGAACTGTTTTGAAAGTCTGTCCCAAATTTGAATATCATCAATTTCTTCTTGTGGCCAAAACTACCACAAAGTGAATGAATGAGTGAGTTGGGTTTAACACTGCTCTGGACAGTATTCTAGTTACATTATGGCATGGCATAATTGTGAGCGAGTGAGCGAGTTGGGTTTAACTCTGCTTTGGGGAGTGAGGTGTGAGTGTGGTTTTAAGCCGCTTTTAGCAATATTCAAGCAATGTCACCGCGGGGGACTCCAGAAATGGGCTTCACACATTGTACCCATGTCGGGAATTGAACCCTGGGAGAAAACAGGGGCGTTCGGGTAGCCTAGTGGTGAAAGCGTTAGCTTACCACACTAACTGACACAAGACTCATCAAATCTGTTACTGTTACAAGCTAAAGTCAATGGATAAGCTCCTCATAATATGTAAAGGCTGATGAACTATATTTACCCTGCTTAGAATAGCAATCTGTAGAAGTAGTGTTATGATCAGGTAACGTGTAAGTACCAGGATCACATGCATACCAGCAGAGATAACACCTGGCAGGTAACCTGTGACCCCAGGTAGCTAATCACACAGGTAGGCGGGTAACCCTCACCGTAAATATCCTTAAGTACACCACTAACTGCATTTTTTACATGGTCCAAGAAAGTCGTCCAAGGGTCCATTAAATTTTGTCCATATTACCGTATTATACAAATAATTACTCTCGCGAGGTCATTATGCCAAAACAAGGACAGACAACATGATCCCTTCGTTGGTCTGATCGAATCAAAGCTGGTCCAAGGCTGGGGAGACCACTGAAAGGTTGGGTCCTCAGGTCCTTGTGTTTGATAATATTGACCTTGCCAAGAGAAATCTGTTGTTTTGATATACTGAAATTAATTTATACAGTACTGAATTTCACCTTTGTTTGTCTTCTGTTTTATTACAAATATAAGTCTGGTCAAGATCTTCTGGAAAGATTGGCAAACCAAGTATAGCTACTTGCAGACAGTATATTGTTTTCTAGCAGACAAAGTCAATATTGATCACGTGACAGGTCAGTAGTGAGCATGTGATGAGTCAAACATTGACAGCAGCGCCATGTGCAACATACGCAAACACTGACACCAGCGTCATGTGCAACATCAGCAAACACTGACACCAGCGTCATGGGCAACATCAGCAAACACTGACACCAGTGTCATGGGCAACATCATCAAACACTGACACCAGCGTCATGGGCAACATATGCAAACACTGACACCAGCGTCATGTGCAACATCAGTAAACACTGACACCAGCGTCATGGGCAACATCATCAAACACTGACACCATCATCATGGGCAACATCAGCAAACACTTACACCAGCGTCATGGGCAACATCAGAAAACACTGTCACCAGCGTCATGTGCAACATTAGCAAACACTGACACCAGCGTCATGGGCAACATCAGCAAACACTGACACCAGCGTCATGTGCAACATCAGCAAACACTGACACCAGCGTCATGTGCAATATACGCAAACACTGTCACCAGCGTCATGTGCAACATTAGCAAACACTGTCACCAGCATCATGTGCAACATTAGCAAGTTATTCAGAACCAACTTGTCCAACCTACATTGAGTACATCAAACTAGCAGCTATTAACTTCCCTCATTGCAGAGAAAATATGTGAATATTTCACACTAATTACAACACCAAGATGTAGGCCAGAAATGGGCATTCAAAAATTATCCCAAAACAAAATAAATCATCAGAAAATCTATTTCAACCCTGGCCCAGTGATCCAAGTCCAACTGCCACTGCACACAGGAAATGTGTTGTTAAACAGAGGGGGACAGTTGCCCCTGGAACACAGCACAGCACCCCCCTGACCTCCGTCCCTCCACACAGACACGGAGTGTCCTCCACAACTTCCAACCAACAAGCTGTCGAATGTACTGAATGCTCGTAAGACGTGACCAATGGAAGGCCCTCCTGACAAAAACAATACATCACCAACATCACCATTAACATGGCAGGGCAGGACCACGGTGTTCCCATCTCTCCAGGACATTTGTGAAAAATACTACAACACATTTTCAAGGTATAACTTCATCCTCAAAAACTAACATTGAACATGCCCACGACAGACTTGTGCTCTCAGTACAAACGCAGGGAGGCAGACCTGGGTGAGAGTACGACACAAGCACTCTGTTTCTTGTCTCAGTACAAACACAAGAAGACAGACATGGCCGTGGGTTGAAATAAGTCCCAAACAGGCCATTGGTAGACTAACATTTAGTCTATGAAATCTTATATTAAACAATACCCTTCTCAACTCGACCCGATGCTGATGTGGACTAGAGCTAGCTAGCGGTGGCTAGATTTGCTTTTTGCATATATATCTAGATTGTTTGTTTCTTCATAAAATAAATATATTCCACAGTCATGGTGCAGGACTAAGGCCATTGGTTGTCTCCTTGGCTAATGCATGTCATCGTATCCCAGTTGATAGGTCGATGAAGATGAAGATGATGATGATGATGATGATGATGATAACGACGATGATGGTGATGATGATGGTGATGATCATGATGATGATAACGATGATGATGATAACGACGATGATGATAACGATGATGACGACGACGACGACGACGACGACGATGATGATAACGATGATGATGATGATGATGATGATGTCAATCACTGGATTGTCTGGTCCAGATTTGATTATTTACAGACCGCCATTATATAGATGGAATATTGCTAAAAGGAACGTCAAACAACAAAGAAACAATTACTGCTTGTTTCCGTACAAATACAAGAAGGCAGACCTCACTTGGAACGGGTCCCAAGCACTCTATTCCTTGTCTCAGCACAAACACAAGCAGGCAGACCTGGGTTAGAGGAGATTCCTATCTTTGTGAAACCCACAAGCACAGGTATGGTGCTGTCAAACCAATAAACATAAGCAGGGTGGACCGTAAATCCTAAGATTCTGCCACACCTCGGAGAAAATAGCACCAAGAAAACTAATAACACAAAGGCACATCTTCCGCTTTAATACTTGTACAAACATACCAACCATACTTTATGAACATATTCTGTGCTCAAAAGACCGCCATTTGTGACGATAAAGCCCCTTGTAACAAAAAAAATTCTACCTCTTATAACACGGACAATTTCAAGGGAGGGTATTCATGTATCTCTTTACTAGTTTACAACGGTAAATTCATATGTTTACTAAAAGATGATGATAACAAATAAAATAACTGCCAACACGGCTATCGGTGTGGAAAAAAAAGGAAATAAGATATAAAAAATTACATTTTCTAAAAAATTAAAGTCGGCGGGTCCGTAATCCGAAAAATATAAAACACCTGGCCTTAAGCATTTACTAAGATTTACATGGAACCGTCTTTAAAAAAGGGAAAACATAATATGTAAATTCCATATCCTTTAAATGAAATGAATAAAAAAAAGCCATTGAAATGTGTGAGTGAGTTGGTTGGAATTGCGCAATATCTCTGCAGGGGACGCTAGAGAGAGGATTTACACATTGAACCCATGTGGGATTTGAATCCCGTCCCTCAGCATTATGAGTAAAGCAACTACACCTCACACCCCTAACACCCCACACCCCTAACACCCCACATCTCACACCCTTAACACCCCACACCTCAACCCCCCACCCCCCCCCAAAAAAAACTATGAGAAATTTTGGAATCAGATTATAGGAAGGAGTCCTGTTTGACAGAGGAGTCCTCACATAGCAAGGTAGATTTCTATATTGAGCAACAATACAATAGTTACAAAAAACACATCCACTTACCAGCAGTTTAGAGGGTCTCCAGTGAGTGGACTGGTCCACTCAGTGTTGATTGGTCAATGAGGTGGTATGTGGAGTGAAGAACACAGTGGGGAATAACGACAATATCTCCACGCTCAGTGCGGCACCACTGTCACATGGGCTTCAGTATCACTCAGTATACATTGTCCTCTCCGTTTATCCTGAAAATAAAAACACATTAAGCTTGTAGGCGTGAGGAAAAGTAGGTCCCCATGTTCATAATGTCACATCATTTTTGCAAGTAAATGTCAGTTGAAAATATCATTGCATTGACATCACATCCTGAAACTGGAAGATGCTGTAAGAGGACACAGAGCAATTGATTGATACTGTGGAATCATCAGTGATGGTAGAATATTCAAAAGTTTCAAACATATATTAAATGTTTGCCTCACCAATGCTCAGCTTGACTTAGCAAAATTAACTCAAGCCAACACAAATCCAATCATCGTGTGAAGATGCGGGTTAGAATCATTTGAGAATTGGTATGGTTAGTTTGATTGTTTGTTTGTTGTTTAACACCATACTCTGCAATATTCCAGCTATATCATTTGTTCGTTCATTCATTAACTTGTTTGTTGTTTAATGCCACACTCAGCAATATTCCAGCTATGTGACAGCGGTCTGTAAATAATCAAGTCTGGACCAGACAATCCAGTGATTGACATCATGAGCATCGATCCACGCAAAGTCAGCGAGCCTGACCATCCGATCCCACTAGTCGCCTCTTACGACAAGCATAGTCGCTATCTACAGCAAGCAAAGGTTGGTGAAGGCCTATTCTACCCTGGATCTTCACAGGAAGAAGGTAAGAAGTGACTAATGGGATCAGGTGGACAGGCTCACGGACTGGGTTGATGCATGTCATCGTATCCCTAATGGGTAGATTGATGGTCATGTCGATCACTGGACTCTCATAAGAGACTGACGTCATCTAGCTGAAATATGGCTGTGTGTGGCATTTAACCACAAACAAACAAATCTAAAAGCAAACACTAAATGCCCCATTCTGTGACCTCAGCTACTAGCTTGGGTCTTGTTCAATTCTCTTTGTTCAATAATAGCTACCAAAAACATCTCCATAATCGTAAGAAATGTCTACTAAAAGCAGAAACCATTTTACAATTCTGGCCATGTTACAAGGTAGAATCACTATTAAATAGTGATGATACCAGGTGTTTGCGAAAAGGTGAGCATATCCTGCACCACCAGTGGGACTTGTCACAAACACACGCAAAGGCAAGTCAATTGTTCACCTGAAAAAACATGGTAAAAATCAAAATTGGGAATTACATAGGTGCTTTGCTAATAATTAACCACTCAACATTTGCAAAGCACTACACCTTTAAAAAAACCAACAATTTTGGTATTTTACAAATGTTGAAAAGTATGGTTCATATACTAACACAAGAACCAATTGAAAACAAAGCCAAGAGAAAAGTCTAATATTCAAACATTGTTAGCACTGTCTCCTTACCGTTTAACTGTTCACTTCAGATTACACAGGGCTGAAAACTTTTATTTAACAAGTTCCGTTTGTACACTAGCCTGTATTTATAGATGCCTGTGTATTTACCATGAATATATTCTTATCTTGAAAACACTACAACACCTTCCTTAAGGAGACAAGAATAACGTCACTAGATAACCTTTGGCCCAACACACACACATACAGAGTAATTCAACACGCTGTTTTCTGTTGTCATTCAGGCACATACGTCACACGCTTATTCACTGTCATATCTGGACCAGAAATAGATTTGGCGGTTCTTCCTTTAATGATTAACTGACAGTGAGGAGGCCAGGCATTGGCCGACCCTGGGCCAGCACGGGTCTCCCCTACAGTACAAGAAGTCAAACACGGTTGGCCTGGTGACGACACACGGCCACAAAAATATCTTGACACACAAAGATATATCCAGCCTAGATATTGCTTCATCACAGACAATGATTTGTTGGTATTTCACAATACCGGTGACTATATTCACAGATAGGGGGGAGGAAGGCCGGGTCGGTTCAAAATGGACATGATAAATATAGAGTTCATGCTAGGTTCTACAGTCAACTGACACAGTCGAGTCCCAAGTTTGTCACAGTTGAGTGCTTGAGTTTGCCGTGAGCTATAACTGCTTGTCAATGTTTGTCATGGCCTTCATACAGCATATAAATTACTACGTGTAATTGGGCCTCCTAAATAAACCTTCAAAACTAGGCCTTAGAATTTATATCTTTTATGAGCATGATGAAAAACCACTAATAATTAACAAGAAACATGTTACTGCATATGCAATGAGGCAGATGGATATGGTTATGTAGGCATGGTTATGTAGGCATGGTATGTGAATACATTAAACTTTACCAGGAAAGCCAAGAGTCCTTGACAAACCCAAGGTTAAAAGTACAAAACTGATATGCTTAATACGGTGAATATGTGTGTTCGTTTGTTGTTTGTTTGTTGTTTAACGCCGCACTCAGCAATATTCCAGCTCTATGACGGTGGTCTGTAAATAATGGAGTCTGGACCAGACAATCCAATGATTGATATCATGAGCATCAATCTATACAGTTGGGATATGATGACATGCATCAACCAAGACAACATCTGTATCATGTCACACTGTTATAAATTAATTATGAGTGAGTGAGTATGGTTTTACGCTGCTTTTAGCAATATTACAGCAATATCACGGAGGGGGACACCAGAAATTGGCTTCACACATTGTACCCATGTCGGGAATCGAACCCGGGTCTTCGGCGTGACGAGCGAACACTTTAACCACTAGGTTACTCAACCGCCCCTAAATTAATTATGAAAAGCAAGGGGTTCTGTCATGGCCCAGGGTTTCAACCTGAAGATTTAGGGTTGTCTTGATTTAAATATTTCATCGCAAACCTCATGGACACTAAGACTCCCTTAATTTCAAACACTACAGCGCTCCCATTTACCAGTAATTACCAGTTCTTTACCGAAAAATTTAGGTGATATTCATATAAGTAGAGAATCTCCCCCGAGTGTCTTTTGATATCAAATATATCAACACAAATTGATAAAAGTGGAAAAATTCCGATGCTTGCCAAGGATTTTTTTCCACTTTTATAAAACGAGTGTTGATATATTTGATATCAAAAGACACAAGGGTGAGATTTTATTTATCATCCAACATCATTCTTCCAGCTTTTTCAATTTGTTGAAAAAAAAGTAAAAAAGTACTGCTAACAGCTTCAGTAGCAGAGCCACTAGTGATGTCATTTGATTGTGACGTCATGGTAACCAGTGGCGTCACAATGGTCTGCAAAGCATTGTGATGTAATATCTACAGTGTAGATATCTCCTGTGGGAGCCAGTTTTGGATGATAAGTACATTTATCGTACAAAGTCAGCTTGTCTGATACCATCAGGGTTTCCCCTTGTCTATTTCTAGGTTAAATATCCATTTGTAGCGACTTCGTCTCGAAATATTAAAAATAAAAGAAGAGAAAATTGTGACTGAAGTTTGTGCGAATGGTGTACAGATCTAAGTTACTTCAGAGATGACATCTTTGCACTGAACATGATGTTGAAAGAATTAAAACCAAATAATTTTCATGGTTTTTTTATTTGTTGAAAGTTGGAACTGGTAATTTTTAGAGTTGACCATCCACAAGGACTGGCAGTTTCAAAAGCCAGCGGCAAGACTGCACTAGTGAGTGACATACCGTATTCGACGTAATAAGCGCCCAGGGCGCTCTCAAAATTAGAAATAGGGGGCTCTTATTAGAATATTATTTTGGTGGAAAAAACAGATAAATTTCATGGTTTATGCTGACAGCCTGAAATGTTTATATACGACAGATATATTTTCCAGAATTTAATTGCCCATAATTAAGGGTGCATATAACACACGAGTGCGTATTATACACGAATAAATAAGTCTTGTGTACATTGATCAATCGGAAGGGGTGCTAATTGGAATTGTTCACTTGCCAATATATTAGCAAATATCGCCGTGGGCGCTTATCATGCTTATTAGAGCGGGACACTTATTACGTCGAATACGGTAAACACAATTAACAATTGTACAGCATAAGTTTTTGCCTTTTTAGATTCAAAACTTGACCAGACAGACTGGGACATTGATAACTGATTGAGGATACCGTATTCCACGTGAACAATCCCAATTAGCACCTCTTCCGATTGATCAATGTGCACAAGACTTAGTTATTCGCGTATAATTCTCACCCACCAACCCATCCATCCTCATTTCAGAGACCTTGAAGTGACTGAGTGAGTGAATATGATTTTATGCCGCTTTGAGCAATATTCTAGCAATATTACAATGAGGAACACCAGAAAATGGCTTCACACATTGTACCCAGTGACCTTGAAACCAAAGGTAGGTAGAAATCAAGTATTCACACATTTAAAGACTGTACTGGAAATAAAGAAAATTCAGGATGATTTGGGGATCTGATTGTTTTGGCACAACATACATGTTGTGTCAGATTCTCTTCCCGACATGCTCTGTTAGAACAATAACAAGCTCAAAGTGTGATGAGTTTCACATGCACATCTGACAATACACCTTGAAAATTAGTAGATAGATGACAACAGTTCCATCAGAATTATTTACGGGGTTACAATACAATCGCCTTCAGTAGTTCCATATTTTCTATCTGATTGGTCAAACATCAATGATAGATACAGCACATATGATTTCACAGAATAATCTTCTGCCCAGACCCTGCCAGAATGTACAATTCTAAAACCAATCCTGGCAAGTAAGTGCTCCGAGAAAGGTGATATTTTTCTTTCATACACTTTCATGTTCGTGAAAGTATGTACGAGGAAACAGGACAGTTCCCTGGCATTACTGCTAGCTTCAGCAGAATTATTTCCAATTTATACACAAAGTCTTGATCAACAGAACTCAGTGGTGCCAAAATATCAGAATCTGGTAGTCATGGCAACAATTGATTTGCCAATGCCAGTGAAGGAATTTCATGGTCTGGATAAGCGATTGTCACCATCTATTGGCCTTGAAAAACTTAACAGTACCTATTGCCATGGTTGAAAACACCCACGCTTTAACATACAAACCACTGGAAGGTTGTACAATGTCAATACATGTACACTTTGCTAGCTTGAAGAAAAAAGTCTTAAAGCAATTGTTGGACGGAACAA